GATAGATACGCGGTACGATTCGAATACTGGATTGAAACTAGTGTAACCAAGCTAACCGAGCTGCATCCCCCGAGAGAAAGAAGAGAGAGAGACAGGTAGGGAAAATAGAGGAGTTATGAGGAGCTACCACCCCCCGCGCGTTAGCCTCTATGCAAATAAACTGCTTCACGCAACCGGCGAGCGCGATATGGAAAGGCTTGAGCTTGCGGATCGTAATGCCGCTCTCAGCCTCGTGACAAGATCTTTTATCGCGATTGAACGCACGAGTCGCAACACGCCACCTTTCCTGCGCCGTGGCGATAAGAGCCACCGAGAGGACAGAACCAGAAAAGGCACGGCACGTCGTGGAAACGAAGCGCAACACGAAGGCGATAGAAGGCCTAGAGGCGACGCACGGCCCGCCGTCGGCTTAGGAGCCGGGGGGAATGAGAGTTGGGCCACCATCAATCTCTTGGCGACACTTCGCTGAAACCCTCGCACGCTCGAGCGAAAGTGAGTCGAGGCGCAGAATGGAGCGAGATATTCGCATAATGCGAGCGAAGTTTAATTACCGTCCGCTACACTACGTCGTAGGGCTCGCTCCGAAATCGCCCGTTTCTCCCTTCCTTCGTCGACGGATTCATCAAGGCCCGCGACAGGGCCAGACGTGCAAAGATAAACGGGCGATAGCCACGTGTGGGAGAGAGAGAGAGAGAGAGAGAGAGAGAGAGAGAGAGAGAGAGAGAGAGAGAGAGAGAGAGAGATTGACGAGAAAGAGAGACGGAGTAGGAGATAGAGACGTGTCATCCTTAAGTCGCTCGTCCGCGAAGTTCCATAGCCATAGGGCCTTCCTCTGCGATTTGCTTTTCTCTCGTTTCATCTTTCCAACCGCCTCCTGAACATTCGCGCGAGCACAGGTACGCGAGCACAACGTGGCAGCTCACCCGTTTCGCCGCTCTTCTCTTCTCTTCTCCCTCTCTCTCTCTCTCTCTCTCCCCTCTCTCTCTCTATCTATCTATCTATCTATCTATCTATCTCTCTTTCTCTTTCGTCCCCTTCCGCCTCCGCCACCTCTACCATCCGCTTTCTCGTGTTCTATCTAATTCTCCTTCCAGCTCCGTTCCATTCTGTTCGCGCACCTCCGTCTCGCTCCCGTCGACGGTGTTCGTGTGCGCGGCGTTATGGATGGTAGTAGGTACCCACTTAGAGGCACAGAGCGCAGCCACGCATAAACCAGTTTCCTGGTTATCCGACTCCTCGCATTTTCCTGGTCGACGCATAGCGCGTCGAACCCGCACGGAACGTACCATTAACGGAGGCTTCCTCGGCTCGATTCCGCAGGACTCGCAGCGCTGCCGCGATCGACGATCACGGACCGGTTGCAAACCGGTGGTGATGCCGAGCGCTTAAAGGCCTGCCGTATCGCTTTAAAGCGACGTCGGTGCACGGCTTTCAGGGCGACCGTCCGCACATGTCCCGACGTCGAGCATCGAATAATTACGTAACGAGCCCCCTACCTTCGGCCGCGCGCGCGGTGCATATGTCGCGATGATCGCCCAAGAAAGACGTTATCCGTCCGTCCGTGCGGTATCCCATGGCCGCGGGTTTCGGAGGTTGCATTCTCCGCAGGGAAATTTCAGACGTTAATCGACGAAAGAAATTGAGCCGCGGGCTGAGAGGCGCTTCGGTCAGGCTTGGATATTGCTAAACGAGGACGACTACTTGCGAATATGTTCCCACAATTTAATCTGCTTCAAGAACGCGGGAACAATGTGAGGAAGACAAGAGCCCCGGTTTCGAGTGCGTTCATATAAAATTCATCCGCGACTTTTCTCCACCCTCTCTCTCCCTCTCTTTCCTTCTTTCTCTTCCTTTGAACGCGTCGGTGCAAGATTAGAAACTCCGCGTTACCTCCGAGAGAACAGCGCACGATAAAGTGGTACGAATTAAATCACTCTGTGACTTTCTTAACGATGCGGGTACCGTCCATAAATCTATAGAGATCCTACGGTCGAACGTATCGTGTGCGTTGTGGAATCCGCGACACGGCGACGCGCACGCTCACGAACGCAACACCCGTGTAACCCCCGGCATAACTTTGAAAATCCGCTTGACCGAGAACGAGTATCGAGAACGGCCTTACGCCGTTATGTGATAAGTCGCGTGTCCGTTAATGTGGCCGGTGCGAGTCACTCGCTCGCGCGCTCGCTCGTGATTCACCTTGTCGTAACCCCGTAGCACATTTGGCAGCCGGCCGGAGGAAGCATATTCTAATTGGCCGATCGGCCAATCACGGGTTCTCACGACACGCCGGTGTGTGCATGTGTGTGTGTGTGTGTGCGTCTGGAAAGTAGATGAGAAAACGGCACGACGCGGCGGACGGGGCGTAATCGACGGTGTTTCAGCAACGCCCGGCGCAACAAACCCAACAGGAATAAGTGCTGGTTATCCGTTCAATTTCCATAAGGATCGCTCGGGCTCATCCGGAGCTCGGTTGATACAAGTTAATGCACCACCACGTAGCCGACACCGCGTAGAGGATCGGCGAGCTGCCGCGCGCGCGCGCGCGCGTGAGACACAGTAGGTAGCGATTGCGAGCGAACGCGCACGGCAGCATTGATGCTATTGCCGCCGATTGCTGGTAGTAATTATCTTATCGCGCCATGTGATCGTTCTCCTTACATGTATCGCCGATCGTCGCAGCGATCTTTATTAGTAATAACTAACGCGCGCGTTAATAACCGCGGCGGGGCCATTCCGCGTACGCGCACACGCGTCGCACATAGCGCTGGGCGCGAGTATGTGTGTGTGTGTGTGTGTATGTTGGCGGGCGCTCAAAGCGCGAGCCGGACTCTGTTCGATAGTCGCGCAATGATCGATCGTTTCCGCGGGTTCCGCGGGAAGCGACCGTCGCGTTTGGTCGCACCGACTCGGACGCGTAATTTCCCATCGAGCGCAGCTTCGACATGCAGGCGGACGGGCGAGTTCGTAAAACGGGACAGAGCCGGTGAGACGTAGCACCGTCGTTGGCCTCTTTATTCACTGCGAGTGTTCGCGAGCAGCAACGCGGTACCGCCGAATTATGGGGCAGCGCGTCGAAGGCGAGGGGGCCATTGGGTCGATCGGTGCTCAAGGGCGGACGGATAGCGGCCGTTCGTAAATCGACGACGACGACGACGACGACGACGACGACGACGACGACGAGGACGGCGAAGCGGTCGTTTCCCTGCGAAATTCCGCGGCGCGAGAGATTGCCGATTGCGATTGAACCCGATGGGACATCCAGGCACCGTTATTCCGCCATGGTGACGCGATGGCACAGGCACCTGGTACGAGCGTTGCTGCCCCCTCTCTTTCTCTCTCTCTCTCTCTCTTTCCCTCTGACCGTCTTTCCTCTCTTCTCCCCTCCTTCCCGCCCTCCTACCTGCCTTTCTTTCTTTCTTTCTTACGCTCCTTCTTTCCGTCTCCTACTGTCTCTCTTTCTCATTCTCCCCGGCGTTCCGCGCTGGGAGCTCCCCGTCGAGCGTCGGATAGCCCGAGTGTTCCCGCGGAGACACTGATACCCGGTCTAGGTCGCGTTGTTCACACGTGAACATTCAATTTTGCTCTCTTTGAGACCCCCTTCTCTTCCCTGCTATACTCGCGTCCTGTTTGTTCTCCCTTTTCTCTTCGTTCCTCGTCTCGCGAGCGCGAAAGAGTGAGCGACAGCGGTTCCCCCGCTCTCCGAAGGAGAGAGCCTTGGTGTGCGTGTGCGCTCTCTCGCGACATAATCACTATTTACCCGGCACGCATCATCGGCTCATTTCACGAGTCCTCCACGGCCGCCGCAACAGGCACCGACTAATGACAGACAGACAGAGAGAAAGAGAGAGAGAATATCTCTTTTCTGCCGGCCGTTTACACCGTTTTGTTCCTCGCGCATCGAGGAAATTATTCTCGCTACTCGCACCATGCGTCCCCATGGACGTAAATCAGCTGACCTTCGTTCTCTGTCGCACGATCGAGTTGTTCCCTGTAACCCACCGTTTAAAAATGCAACTCCCTCATCGCGGTTCATAATCTCAAGACGAGCAAGGCCCACGGTTTCATTCGCGAATGCACAAACGGTGCCGCTCTCACGCTGCTGGCGGAAGCGCCTTCAAACGAATTCATTTCGTGGCGGACTCGCCGGCGGGCCCCCGAGGCGACCACTCGCACCTCCGTTATGTTACGGAAGAATTGGGCGAGACTCATCCACCGAATCAGCCTGAGGGACTGCCGTGTTATCTCCGTGCGATTGCGCGGAACCATTACCGTGCGTAAAGAACGTGTTTAGCTACTCGCCTGTCAGAGATCATCCTCCCCCTCTGTCCTCCTCTCCCTTTCTCTCTTACACACATCTCTCTTACAGCATCTCTAGTATCTCAGCCTGACAACGTGTGAAAGAGAGCATATTAAATAAACGATCGCGGAGGCTGCGAATTCTACAAGAGCATAAGAGGTTGTCGAGGGGCTAGTAAATCCTTGTCAGCGTATGACTTAACGCCTAAAGTGTCACGACCGGCTTACCCGGCGCGAACATAATGTAAGTGTCATCGCGCGAAATAGACCCTCTCAGAAGGCGCGTACGCGAAAGATCCCGTGCTAGGTGGGCGGCAGCAGGTTCAGGGACCGCTAAACCGCTGTCAACCGTGGCGAGTTGGCCGCTCTTGACGCCTTAAAGTGGCATGACTTCACTGATCCGCCGAGAAACGTAAAAACCAATGGTGGGCAGAAGCGCGCGCGGACGCGGGGAGGAATCTGGGCGGGCAGTGTGCGCCAAGTAGTCGATCAAGAGAAAGAGAAAGAGGCACGAGGGGGAGGGAGAGAGACGGACAAGTGGAGAGATGAAGAGGAAAGAGAGTAGAGTAGGAGAAAGAGAACGAGAAAGAGAGAGAGAGAGAGAGAGAGAGAGAGAGAGAGACCGGTGTGTTTTCAATGGTGTTGTACCGGCGATCGAATTGTGCGTACCGTTCTGTCCTCCTTAGACGGCAGCGGCCTCGGTCCCCTCCGGCAGACGTCTTCGGTCGCTCGAGGAAGAGGCATACGCGCGGCCAGGTGTACACAGTGCCTAAGAGCCAGTCGGCCGACATAGTTATATCCCCTGAGCGCGCCGGCCGCGACTCTCGCATTACCATCGCGAATCGGTGCGTCGTGTGATTTCGTTGTGGTTAAACGCCGTGCGCGCGATAAACAAATCGGTCTCTACCTTCTTCGCTGTCGTCGTCGTCGTCGTCGTCGTCGTCGTCGTCGTCGTCGTTGTCTTCTTCCTCCTCCTGCTCTACGGCACCACAGTCGCACCACCGCGATCGGAGGTTGGCCCACGTTTGTGTGTACCGTTTCAAGCATTGTGCGCTAACGGCCGTTCTTGAGAGCGCGCGCGCTCGCTCATACCGGCGATCCCGTGAGAAAGGTGCCCGTGGAATTCGCCTTCGCGCGCTTGGCGCAACAGTGCGGGATAAAGCGCCGCCGAATTGCAGCGCGCGCAATATCGCGCCAACGGCAGATCGCGCGCCGGCGAATCGCGATTCCTACAAAATTCGACGTCGATACATATACATACGTATACATCGCTCGGCTGCTGCGCACAGGTATGTTCGCCCCGGTGTCCCGCGGGCCGAAAGGTTTTTTCGTCCAACAGTGTACATCGGTGTAATTATTTTAACGTGCCGCGCTGCTACGTATGTACCCGGGACGCGTGTGTCGCGGACTCGAAATCGGCGCTCGTATTTCGACGCTGTTTTCGGCGGAACCGGCCGCGAGTTCGCGGCAGATTGCCGTGTGTGGATCTCGATTCCGCGGGGTCATAGTGGTGCGCAAAAGTATCCGGCGATTTAAATTCCCGCATATGCGCGCCGCCGCCACCGCCGCGCCGTTTGTTATTTATTGCGCGGCACACGCGCAACGGTGTAACGGAAATATGAACGATTCGCAATTTATTGCCGCCGCTCGTTCCGCGTTTTTAATATTTTAATCGTCTCGCGAAATTTATCGTGATCTCATCGATGCAATAAGGATGTAAATGGTGCTGTTATGCGCGAGTTAACGGACCACAATCTACCGTCTTTTGACGGAATCGCTATTTAATATCGTACCTGTATTTGTCGAATTGTGAGAAACCTGGCAAACCTGTCGCGATCGTGGAATCCAGGCGGAATCCAGAAGTCCGCGACATCGTTATAAAAACATCCGCCAACTTGCGTTATTAATGTGGGCGAATCTTGTTTTCCAGTACGCCTATATATTTGCCGTTCCCGTTTTCCAGTAAGAACAGCGCGACACTTGACCAACGGCTACACGTTCCATCCCGTTAATCTCGACTTCCGCTAATTTCTCTTTATCCAGTTCGTCAGAGCGCTCAAACACTCGCGCGCGCGCTTAAGTAATGAAGGAAATAGTTCCACAGCGAAAAAATGCGGCGAAGGAAAGCGCCCGTGACGTTTAATTCCGTGTGCATAATCGCGCGTTTTGTTTTGCACTTAACTCCCGGGAAAAGTACTATTATTAACTGCTATCTATCTCTCTCTCTTTCTCTCTCTCTCTATCTCCTTCTCGTTCAGATGTAGCCTGCGCTATTCATATGTTCTATTTTTTTTCACTTGCCTCCTGTTTTCCTTCTGAGTTTATCTCGTCAATATCATAACGCGGAAGATAATTAAATATTGAAGCAAAATTGCTCGACGTAAGAGGCACTTGTGTGATGTCTCAAAGTCCCATAGGTATAATTCCAAAAAGTTGAAAGAGAACACGATATGCGCCGGATTCCAGACCGCATTCCTGATCCTCGGACAGGGAATAGCGTCGATTTTTTTCCATCTTTCCGTCCGACATCTTCGATGAGATCTAGGACCCTACTCTGGACGCGTATCAAATGCTAAGTATGCCCCTTTCTGATCCTCAAGCTAAAACTACACTAATATAAGAGTCAAGAAACCTGAAAAGGGCACATTTAACGTTCGATATGCATCCATAATGAGGCCCCTAAGATCACGGATTATTCCGTGTGCCTGGATCTTTTCGACGCGATCGTTGCTTAAGAAAGAGTCACTAGTCAATGTATTATAATTTCGTCTGCTAAGAGCGACCGACGACGTGTCATAACGGTGCATTCTTTTCTTCTGTTGCAGATCATAGACGCGTTTAGTGCGACGTTTAGTGCGACCTGAGCATTTGAACGAGACAGTACTACGATGACGAGACCGTACGACCGTCGACAGCTGCTCGCGATACTCCTGCTGCTGCAAACCGCCTCGAGATACGACTACGCGGTTCACGCGGTTTCCGCGGAATCGACGCACGCGGTCGACCTGTCGCCGTCGTCCGCGGTACCGTCCGGCCTCTCCGGGCCGGATTACACCGGCCCATCCGCGGGTTCGGACGAGTGCGATCCCGAGATGGTTGGCTTCGAGCTGGTAACCGGCTACGTGTACACCGCGCCCACAAACATGCTCGAGTCCATACCGGGCACGTTGATGCTCACCGACTGCCTGGAGACCTGTCAGGCAAACGACTCCTGCCAGGCGGTCAACTACGAGACGGGCCTTTGCGTCCTATTCAGCTCTAACGCCGACAGCAATCCAGGTAAGATTGAATCGTTATCGTATCTACCTAAAGACTGTAGCGAGAAGCATCGACTATGTATATGAGCGCGGGATGCGCGCAGACTCCTGGGGCTACTCTACGTCCGATGGTTGTTCTCAGTTGGAGATGCGTTTCTTTCTCTCTTTCTTTCTTTTTTCTTCTCATTTCTCTCTTTGTCCTTTCCTTTTTCTACGCGAGGAAAACGTTAGCGGGACATAAGCCCCTTGATTGCCTTATTACGCGGATGTTAATTAAGAACGTCCTACAATCTCACGGCGGTAGAAGAGAACGATTCTTGTCTGCCAAGAAACTTTTTTCCCTAGATATTTCATGTCGTAATGATGATCGTAAAAATGCGTCGGGAAACTGTATGATGCGGTATACTTTCCACGTCGGGGAATCGAAACTGGAGTTTATTATCTATTTACGCAGAGTGTCTGACAATTACCGACACACCCGTTGTGTGTAAGTAAAATTCTCATTAACCGAATGACAAGTTCTTCTGTCATCTCGCAAACAGCTGCAGTAAGACTTTGAGTTATTAATTAAAGAAGATTAGTGAACATGTAGGTATGTGTGTGTGTATGTGTGAGTGTGTGTGTGTGTGTGTGTGTGTGTGTGTGTGTGTGTGTGTGTGTGTGTGTGTGTGTGTGTGTGTGTGTGTGTGTGTGTGTGTGTGTGTGTGTGTGTGTGTGTGTGTGTGTGTGTGTGTGTGTGTGTGTGTGTGTGTGTGTGTGTGTGTGTGTGTGTGTGTGTGTGTGTGTGTGTGTGTGTGTGTGTGTGTGTGTGTGTGTGTGTGTGTGTGTGTGTGTGTGTGTGTGTGTGTGTGTGTGTGTGTGTGTGTGTGTGTGTGTGTGTGTGTGTGTGTGTGTGTGTGTGTGTGTGTGTGTGTGTGTGTGTGTGTGTGTGTGTGTGTGTGTGTGTGTGTGTGTGTGTGTGTGTGTGTGTGTGTGTGTGTGTGTGTGTGTGTGTGTGTGTGTGTGTGTGTGTGTGTGTGTGTGTGTGTGTGTGTGTGTGTGTGTGTGTGTGTGTGTGTGTGTGTGTGTGTGTGTGTGTGTGTGTGTGTGTGTGTGTGTGTGTGTGTGTGTGTGTGTGTGTGTGTGTGTGTGTGTGTGTGTGTGTGTGTGTGTGTGTGTGTGTGTGTGTGTGTGTGTGTGTGTGTGTGTGTGTGTGTGTGTGTG